GCGTTGTCTTAACCTGTTTCTTTGGCGCTTTCTTGTTGGCAACACTCGAGTTGGCTTTCAAGCTTTCTGTGCTGTGTTTCATTGGTTTAAATTTAACTTGTGACTTTTGGGTTTGCTGCTGCATTCACATGATCTTAAAGAGGCTTGTAATTTCGTCGAAATTGTGAACGAGTCGTATTATTGTTTCGCTTAAGTACCCTACGGTTCACATTTTATTTGAATGCATTTGCACATATCTTGCACCAAATTAAAAAAGTAACTGCGCCTGGGCCACACTGGAGAAGTGAAACTTACGTTACTGGCATATCTATTTTGTCTCATAACCAATATATATACATACATACATATGTGCATACATACATACATCTGCTTTTGCTTAGGGTTATATTTTTTTTTCTTTTTTCTATCTGGATCCCTACCTATGCCCCTGTTCGTTCTAATTACATTTATGTTATTCTGTTTTCCTTTATCTTAATTTTTATTACAATTCGATGAAAAATTCGATAATAATATTGGTTGCAGAATCTATTACAAACTCGATAAAAATTTCGAAAAAATATCCATACCAAAATCCATAAAAATATTGATAAAAACATCCATAACAGAATCGATGAAAATATCGATAACAAAATCGATAAAAATATCCATAACAAAATCGATAAATATCGATAACTAAATCCATAATTACCGATAACAAAATCGATAAAAAATCGTTAAATATCGATATCAAAATCGATAAATATCGACAACAAAATCGATGGTTCGCTAACAAAATCGATGTTTCGCTAACGAAATCGATAAATATATCGATAAAAATATCAATATTGAATTCGATAACAAAATCGGTAAAAATGTCCATAACAAAACCGATAAATATGGATAACAAAATCGATAAATGTAGATAACAAAATCGATAAATATCCTTGTCCTTATGTGTAAGTAAAGTGTTTAAAATTACCTTGGTCTTCATTTTTGCCTTTATCTTTACGCATCTTTGTTAATGTTTTTATTTTTACCTTTGCCTTTACCTTTACTTTCATTGTATTGGTCTTTTTCTAAGTGTTATACTTTAACCTTTTATTACAAAATTTGTGTGAAATTAATACCATATCCACACACACAAGAAGCACTTGTTTCAGCCCCAACCATTTCCGTTGCACCATTTCCGTGTGCAATTTCCGTTGAATTTGCCAATTTATTCCCAACCAACCAACCGCCGCTAAAGAAGTTTCACTTCAATAATTATCAGTTATTGTGTACACCGTGCGACAGTAAATTTTACACACAAAAAAAAAGTAATATATTCGCGAGACTATGGGCAAATTATAATAAAACTGCGTACTTAGTTTTTCTCTCTGACGTCAGGATTTTTTTTTTTAAAGGACTTTGAAATTTAAAAAATATGATTGCTTCAAAAAATTATTTTGAAAATTCAGTGCAACAATAAGGGTATCATATAAAAAAAAAATCTGTAGAATTATAACAGAATACATTTTTTGGTGCATTAGGACGACTGGTTATGGAAAATGTCCTTTACAAATTTGGCCTTAAATATTGTTTGAAGATTAATATACGCACGACCTCATCATCGAATTTCGTCCTGAAAACTTTTTTAACTTAAAAGGATAAAATTTAATAAAAGCGTATTTTCAATAACTATTCGTCCCTTTAAACCAAAAAACTTTATTGTTTTTAAATTCTACGGAATTTTATCTCTCATGGTACCCATATTGTTATTCTACATTGCACTGTTTTTTAAAATAATTTTTTGAATTAATCATGTCTTTAAAATTTTAAAGTCCTTTGAAAAAAAATCCTGACGTTAGAGTGAAAAACTGAACGCAGTTTTACTATATTTGGCCATAGTTTCGTGTTTCGTGTTTCGTTTCGTGTATGTAGTATATCGATTCTTTCGTGTGTTAGGAATTTTTTTTTTGGTTTTTTTCGAACGGTATTATTAGAGCCTTGCCGTGGCTCGGTCTAATAAAATTTATACATATAAAAATGAAATATCTTTCGTATAATGGCGATGCCTGACCAAACGGCGTAACCGATTTCGATTTTGTAAAAAGTACTTTTTTGGACTTGCTGTGTGGAAGGTTTTTCAATAAAAAAATTAAATACGTTTTGTGGTTGCTGCCAAAAAGTAAAGAAAGCTGAGACGTCACGATTGATTCATATGTGGAACATGCATGGGCGTAGCCAGGTAGGGGCAGGGGGTGCTCGAGCCTCCCCCCCCTAACTTTCAAATTTTCTTTATATATATATAAAATAGTACCCTGAAATGCCAGCTTAATAGGGTCGAGAAAATAGATATCCATATTTACGTGTGTACAGTTGCGAGTAAAACTAATAGCAGTAAAATTCAAAATGATACTGCTGGCAATTTATGTTTATTTATTTATTGTTAATAATTTTAATTTACAATATGGATCGATCTGTAACAGAGCCCGCATAAATATAGGTTTCAAAGCTTGCGCAATTTTCAAAAAAAAAAATTAATTTAACATAAAAAAATTTTCATCAAAATTTCGATTTTTTAGAAAGATTTTGAGTATGAAATTTTGTAGCCCATTCAATTTTAGTACAATAAAGTGCAAATTTGAAGTCACTAAAAATTACCGTAGATTTTTTCGATTTTTTTCTCGAGGATGTGCGCATTTGCTCAACGCATGAACCAAATTTCTTTTTTACTACATAGATCGCTACCCGATTCGTTGAGTATATGAAATTTGTGCGTGTTACATTAGGTGTAATTTATTTGAGTAAAATTCAAAATACATAAACTATGCCAATAATAGGAGATTTTGAATTTTTTAACATCTCTCCTGCGATACTTTATGTTACTTAAATGTAGTTTACTAATGAGGCCCTTTCAAAACCATTTACATTGATACCCATTTTGTAATAATTCATTGAAATTATTGGATAGTTTGAATTTAACTTTTTAAACAGTTGGTAACGCTTATAAAATACTTCAATAATATTCTAAATGTTCAATCTGTAAGTTTCTTAACAATCATTCGTTTGACACCGATATTTAAATTTTTCGGATAGATTGCGAAAAATTAATTTAAATTTGACTTTTCAAACAGGTGGCAACCATTTTTAAAATATCTTCAAACTACAACTTTTTCATGCCTTTTGACATCTATTTTTTAATACAATTTTCAAGTAAAGCATTCCCTTAATTCAATTTGAAATTCATTTTTTTGAAGATATGGCAGCTCTCCTCCATCAGTCTGGAATTGATTTTCACAAATATCACAAATATTTTCAGATATACCTATGAAAAATTCCGTTCGTATGGGTGGTGTCACGCCCTCTCGTCTTACTCCCCCCCAGGTACGGGTCGGAAAATTTGAATTTGCCACGAAAAGGAACCAAAGAGCCTAGTAAATCATATGGGCAAAAAAATACTACCACTTCACGTATTGAGTGATTACAGTAGGGATCCAATTGGCCTATCAACCTGCCAGCTTGACCTAACCAATGCTTTCGCTTCATTTTTCGGAAAACCACGCCAATCTGTGGTATTGAAATGGGTCTAAGGAGCAGGTGATAAACAATTCCAGGCGATTTTCTACAGGAAAAAACCTAAGCTCTGATGAGCTTTGACTTTTGGAATTTCTTGCTGTTGTATTTAGTGGATGACACATAATCAAAATTATTGCGCGGAGTCATTTCCCAATTGTTTATTACCGTAACAAGTCATGCATAATTATTTCTTCATTTACAACTTTTAATCGGAATTTTTCAAAATCTATGAAAGGAGTAACCGCAAAACGTACTTGTTCGGGTAAGTACTGGAACGTGCGGCGGATACTTTACTGCTACAGTACTTGGGGAAAAAAAGCTTATGGAGGCACTTAAAACTACAGGTGAATGCGTAACTTTGTTGATATATGTATGTACACAGGCATACTTGGATAGATACATAAGTATGCGTGTAGGGACGTGTGAATATACATACATAGCTACAGACAATTGTATTGCAGTGCATTAATGTAAATTTTATTTATGATAGATACGCTTCCATGCACTTGTGCTTTTCAAACGTAAGCACTTTACATGCAACGTATCTCTTCTTATTTCCCTATAAATACTTTCTTTACAACTTTTAGCCGCACATAATTGCAATAAAGTGAACAAAAAATAAAATAAAAATATTGCTTACTACTGACAAAGTTTGTGTCTTGTCGGGGCATTGATGAGTTGAATGAGGCCATTGCCTGGCTGGCTGGATTATTCATCAAGTTTCAAGAAAGTCTAGGCTAGCATATATGTACATTAGGCAGGGTCGATTTTGTTTGGGGAAAAATAAAAGATATTGTATTTTAATAGTAATATTATGTTGGCCCAGGTCTAAGCCAATAATAATTGGTCATAAAAGTTTAATATAAAACATATCTTTAACCTGCCCAATTGATTCAAAGTGTACGAATTTTGAAACTGAAACTTTGGCTGGTAATATTTGGGGAATACGTGAATTGTTATAAATAATACAAAACATTATTAAATTTAGTATCAGGCAGATGGTGAATGGCTCACTCCACGACAAATTAGTGTCCTTGTTCCTGAGGAGCCGCAAGAATACCTTTGTCAGAAATTCGAGAGTTACGAAAGGAAAATAGTGACGATGCACAGTGGTCAATAAATGGAATTTAATGTTCACAATTCACTGGAGCCTTCCGTTCTCAACCGATTTGATTAATTATTTTTTTAAATGAAAGCTAATAAAATTTGCCAGAGACTAGTTGAGCCCAATTTTCGAATTTTTATTTGTTTGTATTAAATTTTTTAGTGCAAAGTGCAGAAATTGCGCCAATTTTGAAGAAGACCGATTCTCCTGTTCCAGCTAATAAAAGTTTCATAATAAAAATTAGTTAAAAACAATTGTAGGGTTCTCCTAAAACCAAAAAAAAATTAATAAGTAATAATTTGAAATGCTATAAAAAAAGTGTGTGCCCTTGTTCCTCGTCAGAAATTAAAGATTTACGAAAGGCGAATAGTGACGATGAGCCCTTGGCAACTGAACAGATTGTGAACGATAACGGAGATTAATTAATTAATTAACGACTCCAGATGACTCCGATATAGAAGCAATCCAGTTATCAGAATACGATCCGGAAGATGAAATTCGAAGATGATGAAGAACATGATGATTTACCAGGTGAAACCTAGGAAACTGGAAAAGGTGAAACAATTTGGTCTGCTGTACCCACAACATGCTCATGCTCATTATTCGTGAAACCATTGTCAAGAACATGAAAGTACACAAAACCCAACAAGAGAACAGCGCGCATAGAAAGTCCCTTTAATGCATATTTGGGTCTTATGTTGCTAAGAGATGGGAGAGATGCCGGTTAAGTTCATGATATATGTAGATTTGCAAAAAAAGAGTAAATGCCACACTGGAGAAGTGAAACTTACGTTACATATCTATTTTGTCCCATAGCCAATATACATACATATGTACATACATACAAACATCTGCTTTTGCTTAAGGATATACTTTATGTCTTTTTTCTATGCAGATCCCTACCTCTACCCCGGTTCGTTCTAATTACATTTATGTTATTCTATTTTCCTTTATCTTCATACTCTATCGACAACAAAATCGATAGTAACATCCAACAAAATATCAATAACAAAAGCGATAAAAATATCGATAACAAAATCGATGACAGATTCGATAATTATATTAGTAGCAAAATCGATAAAAATATGGATAACAAAGTTGATAACAAAACCAATGACAATATCGATAACAAATTCGTTAAAAATGTCGATCTCAAAATCGGTAACAAAATCGATAACAAGATCGATAAATAATCTATAAAAAAGTCCATAAAATATCGATAACAAAATCGATGAAAATTCGAAAAAATTTCAATAGCAAAATCGATAATAATACTGGTAACGAAATCGATTAGAAAATCGATAAAAATACCGATAACAAAACCAATAAAAATATCTATAACAAAATCGATAGAAACATATCGATAACAAAATCAATGGCAAAATCGATAGAAATATTGAAAACAAATACGACAAGAAATATCGATAACAAAATCGATGGAAATATCGATAATAAAATCTATAAAAAAATCGATAAATAATTGATAACAAAATCGATAAATCATTGATAACAAAGTAGATAACAAAGTCGATAAAAATACCGATAACAAATTGGATTAAAAATATCGATAACAAACCAATGACAATATCGGTAACAAAGTCGCTAAAAATTTCGATTACAAAATCGATAAAATATCGATAATGTGCTTTTTACAGGCTTGTAGTTGTTGTTCCAAGAGATTTGGGAAAATCCAATTTTCGACGACCCGCCCTAATTCACGAAAGCAATTGCTAAGTACCACTATAAAATTAATTGTAATGCATGACACGTATTTCTCAGTCAATGCTATGCTGCTCATCATTGTTGATTTTGATTAAACACACAAACACACACACACAAACACTTTTGAATCCATTGTTGCATGTGGCAGATGCTATCTTTGCATTGCGGGTGAAAACCGCCAATAATGGCAGCAAATTTGTCTTTTAACAAAAGTGTATAAATAATCAAATAACTAAGCAGCTGACTGACTGACTGTTGCGCTTCATGGACTGTCGCCTTCAGTGTCAGTGAGTGATTTTCGCATATTTTCAAGGCATTGCAATTTTATTTTATTAAATTCACTTTAATTGCGCGATGATGGCATTAATACGTGCCTTTTTGCGCCAGTACTTGAAGTACATACATACATATGTACGTATGTAAATGGGGAGGAGTTGCAAATAGGTGGATGTTTGTATGTACATACTTTAAAAAAGTACGTGCTTAAGTAAGTGTTTGCAAAGTGTTGGGTGACTTTTTGTAATAAATAAATACGTCGACATACAGTTGTCCACAAAATAATAGGAGTGGGATATTTTAACCTGTTTTGGCTATTTGTCTTTAGTTTATTTAATGTTTCGTATTTTTTTGTAAAAGCCTAGCTGGTAATACAACAAACACCATATAAATTTACATTTTCAAGTTTGTACAAAAATTATAAAAATTCTGCAAATTTTCACCAAAATTTCAAACTATTTAACCAGAATCTTTAGAAAATATGTTGGTATGCAGTTTTGTAGCCCATTCAATTCTAGTCTGAAGAAGTGCAAGTTTCAAGCTGCTAAAAAATTCCGTTGATTTTTGAGAATTTTTTCGGTTGAAGGTGTTTCACGTTTTTTCCATACAAAGTATGTTCGACAATTTTCTTTTATATGGGGACAGTGCCAGCAAAAAAAATTGCCAAAAATCAACGGAATTTTTTAGCAGCTTTAAACTTGCACTTCTTCAGACTAGAATTGAATGGGCTATAAAACTGCATACCAGAATTTTCTCTGAAGATTCTGATTAAAAAGTTTGATATTTTGGTGAAAATTTACAGAATTTTAATAATTTTTGTACAAAGGTTGAAATCTGAATTTATTCGTTGTTTGTTGTATACCCAGCTTGACTTTTGTATAAAAATAATAAACATTAAATAAACAAAAGACAAATAGCAAAAACTGACCAAAATAACGCACTCCTATTATTTTGTGGACCACTGTAAATACATATTTCAATAATGAATACTAAGAATGTAAAGTACTTGGTACTTGAGGAATTTCTATACGCACACTAATCTTATAACTCTTTAAAAAAAACCCCATTCAATTTCAAATTATAATTTTCAGCATGAAATTTATTTATCATATTTAAAGAAGTGCTTATAAGTTACTTTAGAGGAAGACACATGGAATGCTAAGCTTAGTTTAAAATAGTCTATAAAATATATTTTTTTTTTTATGTGCTCTATGAACGCACAAATACATTTTCCATAGTTGTATACAATTGTAGGTAAGTATTTTGTCAAGAGGACAGCGTCTTTTTTTCAATTTCTTAAATAAAATCAATTTTTTCTTAAAAACTTCTTAAACTTTAATTAATTATGTACCTTAAATGTAATTTCATTCATTAATATAAATGTAGCTCCCTTTAGGTTAGAACGCATATATGTATATATTTAATGTTATATCAAATTTAAATTATCTTAAATTAATTTTTTTTGCAAAACAGTTTTTAAATTTTTGAAAATGCAGTTGCTGTCTATTAGTGTTGTCTTTTAAGTTTTTATTTTATTTTTTATATTTTTATTTATCTTTTTTATCTATGTATTTATTTTTAAAGCTGTCTTTTATATAACTTAAATCTTTTATTTATTCATTTCTAATTCTTTATTTGTTAATTATTTTTTTATTTTATTTTACCATTATTTCTCGAATTCTTAAATTAATTATGTTAATTTCAATATAATTCCCACATTGTTATGAGTTCCCAATTTTTCTTCTTTAGTTTTCCATCTAATTTTTCATTTATTTCTACTCTTAGATTTAAAATTTTCCTTGGTTTATTTTTTTTATAGATTTCAATCTTTAAAGCCCTTTATTTACTTTTTTGTAAAATTTTATTTTTTTTTATTCATATTTAAACGAGGTCCCCACCCTTTACTGGCCCGAAATATGAAGCTGCTCGTTTTACAGCTGGCTTTTAAATATTCAAATTTTTAATGTTTCATGGAAAGGTTTTCCTTAAAACATTTATTACTGGACCATTTTGTTTTGCTTCAAACTTTTAATTTGTAATTTGTAACTTGTTATTCTGTTTTTATTTTTTATTTATGATTTTTGAATATATTGCAATGTATTTTCGTATACTTTTTTACTTCTTTGATTTGAAGTAATTTGGTTTTTCTTTTTTATTATTTTTTGATGAAATTTTTTATTTTGCTACTTTGATTTAATTTAATTTTATTTTATTTTACTTAATTTCATTTTACTTTACTTTACTTTACTTTATTTTATTTTATTTTATTTTATTTTATTTTATTTTATTTTATTTTATTTTATTTTAATTTATTTTATTTTATTTTGTTTTATTTGGTTTTTTATTTATTTTCTTTTTATATAATTTAATTTTATTTAATTTTTTAATTTTCTTTTATTCAGTTTTTTATTTCATATTAAAATATGTAATCTTTTATTTATACTTTCAATTACTAAATTTTAAATTACTTCTGTGTAATACTTGTATTTTTTTAGAGGCTATCCTGAATTTAAGCTTATAATAATTCGACCGTTATAGTCGAAACTGTAGATTTGTGAAGCCACTAAATGATTTAAAATTCATTAAGTTTTCCTCTAGAAGGCTTTTGAATGATGGAGGTTCCACATTCGTATTTATTTAATAAAAATCTAAAACAGATAATTTCATCTCTTTTTACTCTTTTGAGGTTTCTGAAGAAAATTTTCGGAGGCCTCTGACTTTTTAATGATAAATTGTTGTAGAGAAGTTACGAAATGCTAGATCTAAGGCCTTACTCCAGATTTCAAAAAAGGGAATTTCAATTAGGTAATCGAAAAATAAAGAGTTCAGTATAAATTTAAATCTTATTTTTAGAAAAAATGGAAAAAAACTTATCAACAGCCGCGGATTAAAATGGTTGGAAAGACTTTGCTGCCCATCATCGTACCTTTTCACTGTCAAAGAGGAAGCCATTGAACCTGTGCTCAGAGTAGACACGCGCTACAGCGAAGAGCCTGAAGAGAATGCACGGCCAGTTAGTGATTTAAAGTTTAAGTCTGTGTTAACCAGAGAACGCTTTTACCTTATTGCTGTCCATTTAAAATCTACAACAAGTTTTGAAAAGTTTTGCTCGCGTTGTTGTGGTTTTTGTAACGGCTACTCAATCCTGCCTAGATCGGTTTGTCCCTCAATCGTGTCGTTATGTTCAACTAACTGAAGATACAGGAACTGAGCAACTCCGACTGGGTTGGTCCACTAGGGTAGGGGCGTTATTTAAGTGGGGTTTTGGGGGCATGCGAAGAGGTGCCGTGATTCATGAAATGACTATCCGCATGCCGCGTATTCGTTAGGCACAACTGAGTTTATTCTACACAGGTACGAGTTTAGCCTGTTGCAGGGCTATGGTCATGCAAGAATCCCTAGGCAGACAAAGCCCTGTCTCGTCCACCTCGGGTGCTATGGGTTCCCAAACCGGTCGATGTAAGTCGATACCGACTCTCTGTGATGCCGTTTATGGCCTTTCGAAATGCTGTCCGGTCCATCCAGAGGTGGTTTTATGAACCTCTGGACTTCGTCCGTCAGTTCGTATAGGTGTCTTCTGATGTGCCTAGGCGAAGGTTCTGTTGCAGCACGTATCTGTTCGGGTGTTATATGTTGGCTGCTGCAGTGACAAGTGAAACAAGTCAGTAAGCATTCCAGTAGGTCTACTACTTGGACCAGTTCGACTATTTCGAACCACCTTCTGCTGGTCGCTATGGCATTACCTACATTCATCTTTGAATTGTCAAGCAAAACCCGTCAGGAAATGAACTGATACATAACATTCTAAGGAAAACCTTGCTATTTACCAAGCCGAGCCAAGATTTTGCATTCCAGGGCTTGTCTACTGAGACCGATCTAGGCTCTGTTGAGACAGATCTTAGCTAAGGAAATTTGTTCTGACACTTCATCCAGGCGCTGCACGATATAAGGCCATTCTGTAGCGAATTATGAGCCCGGAAATAAACTGGAATTAGTTCGTTCGTAGAAAGCTTAAAAAAGCTCTTGACGCATGTCTATAAAAGGCCTTGCCCGTGTTTATAGCTTTTTAAAGCCTTCTATATGTATTGTATGGATGCGGTACACGCTTATTAGAGCTTTCGAAAAAGGGCAAAAGCTTTCGTTGGCCATCTATGTTGAGCAGTTATAGTCTAAAGTAGCGACGAGCAGAGAGAGCTTTTACTCTGCATGCGTCTATGCGAAATTTATAGAAAGATTAAACGAGATTGTCGGTCTAAATAAGCGATAAGCAGAGAGAGCTTTTACTCTGCACGCGCCTATACAAAATTTATAGAAAGCTTAAAATGTTTAGCTTTGCCCGCGGGCAAGACAGTGCCCATCACCGGTCTAAAGAGTGAAATGAAGTTGTCTTTTGCTCATCATTTAGAGATCCACTGCCATAAAAGTGTATCTAAATTATTACATAACAAATAAGCCACTCATGCCGGCGTTAATTTCTTTCAAATTTATATTCAGATATCCTTTGCCAATTATCATAATATTATATATAGTTACGTAGTATTTATGTTAAAAATATTGAAATCATTTTAATAGAGCACTAAGTGCCCGGCAAATAGGTATACAACATACATACATATCTCACGATGATATTGAACTTATATTTACATTATGGGCTATATAATTTAAATTTTAATTAAGTTTTATAGAAATCTTAACTGAAAGTACATAGTATAGTAAACTCGTACAAATAAACATGTATACGATTAGCTTTAAGACACTAGAATAAGTATACATACATACATGTGTACATCAATACATGAGAAGGCACTTGAGGATTTTCAATTCAATTTTAAGCTACTTCTTAGTCAAATATATTATTTTTCTTAGAGAAATCATTGCAAAATGCAAGAACTGCATGAAAAAGCAAGTAAATCATAGGAAACAACCACTGTCCTGAACCAAGGAGAACATGTGATCTCAATCGTAGTCAATTCAGCGCCGCATAATATCCTCTATGCTGAAACCAGTGCGACGCGTAGGAGCTGGTGGTTGCTGCTGCTGCGGCTGCGGCGCCGGCTGTTGTTGTTGTCGCGTTGTTATCGTTGCAGACGCTGCCGATATTATTGAACGCGCACCACTGCCACCAGCTAAAGACTCCTGAGTATTCAAATTCACTGCGCTGGCTGGCGGCAGCAAAAAATGCCGTTCACCGCTGCCACTCGGCAAGTGAGACGCCCCTACTGCTGACGTGCCGCCAGCACCTGCGTTTTCTCTGCCCCTATGCGTTAAGACGTCTGTGGGCGCGTTGTTCGTAGCATCGCCGCCGGCGCCATTTCCCACAGATTTCTCCCCTAACAGCGGCGGTTGACTGGCCAGATATGCCTTGCTGGGCAGTAGCGTGTGTGTAGGTGGAGGTTGTGCATGCGGCGGTGGCGGTAGCGGCAGCCCTTTCATGGCGGCATGCGAACGTGACATGTTGAGCGCCAACAAGCCGGCATTAGTTGTTACGCTGTAAGCGCGTTGCGCATCTACCATTTGCTCGAGGCCCACAATGCGCTTTCGTATGGGTATGGAGCCAAGAAAACTGGGCATTGACTCGAGCGGTGAATGTAGCGGCTGCTGTAAATTCTTTCCGGGTTCGACAAGCGGCGGCAAGGGCGGCGGCGACGGCTGCACTACTGCTGGTGGGGCGCCTGTTGGGCCAGGCGGTAGCGCGATTGCGGGCGCAGCTAGCGGTGGTGGTGGCAGTGGTTGTTGTGGTGGTGGCGGTGTGCCTGCCGCTGCCGTTGCTACCATCACACCAGGCGGCAACATACTAGCGCCGCCCTTCATTTCAGCGCCTACCAAGAGCAGCGCTTTAGGATGGAGATCTCTGCGTACGTGCAACATTGGTATGTAAGGTTCCGGTCCATTCGATGTTGACGGCGAATGTATGGACTCGCCGGCGCCAGGTAGCGCGCGCATCGGATTGTAGCGCGCGCTTGGTGACGACGGCATGAAAGCGGAACCGGGTGGTGGTGGCGCGCATAATGCGTGCGGTGAGTTAGCCGCCTGTATGGGATCGTATGAATCACGCATTTCGTGTGTTGGACGCATTGTATACGTTTCACCACCTTCATGATGGCAATGCGTCACACCCTGCCCAGTAGGTCTGGGCTCCAGCAAACCTTCGTTCGGATTATTGCGTTCCGCTTGCACTTCATCCTCTTCGTCGTCCAGCTCTGCATCCTCCAGTTCGGTCTCATCCAATTCATCATCTTCGTCTAACTCTTCGTCTGACTCATCTGAGATTTCCGCCGCATCGTAACAGGCTTTGCGCTTTAGGCGCATACGTGCAGCTGCGCGCGCATTTTCACTTGCCGTCTCTGCATCCGCTGCGCTGCCATCGTCGAGCGCATGCGTTGGTGTGCTGCTATGCAATCGATGTATCGGTGATTGTCGTGGTGAATCTACTTCCAACAAAGTATCCTCTTCATCACCGCTCAGGTGTCGGCCCTCATCTTCCTCGCCCACATCTACATACTCGGAAGGCACATCACCGACGGCGTGCGTGAGCGCATGACGACGCAGATCACAATTACGGCGAAAGACTTTGCCGCAGGAAGAGCACTCGTAGGGCTTGTGATCGGTGTGCGTGAGCAGGTGCGTTTTCAAATTGGAGCGCTGATTGAAGCTGCGACTGCAAACGGGACACTTGTGTGGCGATTCTTCCATGTGTAGGATCTTGTGAACGGCCAGCGTACGCGACTGGCAGAAACCTTTGCCGCATTCGGTGCATTTGAATGGCTTCTCCTTGGAGTGTATATATCTGTGTGCGGAAAAGAAATGAAATGTGTTTATGAGTCTGCCTTCGGGCTAGTAATATAAATAACAGCAAAAAGGAAAATGCTAATGAAGTTGTAACAAAAAGAGTATCTATGAATGCGCATAGTCTAAAATAATTGCATTGTGTCTGGAGTTTTGTTGTTGCTGGGCGAGCAGCGCTCATTAAGTGTGGCGCAAAAGCAAAGGTGGTTGGTGTAGTCAGGGTAGATGCTTGTGCGCGGCGCCCTCAACACTCCCGCAAACTTTTGCAACCGTCATTAATAAAAATTTTCAAGGCAGCTTTGTTTTACCATTGCGATAGTGGTTTCTCCATTGCGATAGTGAGTTACTTAGCCTAACTAAAGATCTTATTTGAAGCCTTCATCTGGTGCCGACTAAAGTCTTGTGAACTATTTCATCCCCTCGATCTCTCCCACTGTCTATGTACATCTAACGGTAAAGGAATCCGCTCAATGATTCAGTTACTTCGTCAAATGTGCTTAGAATGAGATAAGTTGTTTGGCACTATGGTACGTCCCTATCTTCCTTAAGCACTCTCTCCAAGGGAAAACTTCCTCGAACTAGCAAACAAATGCTGCTCACTCATATCTATAGGTTATGTTCTAAACTTTACCTTATTCCTAGAAGTAAGACAAGGATAGTATTTATATCTAAGGAATACAGGGCTTCGCATGTCAAACCCAATAATCTTTCTTCTAGCAGTGCGGACATATTTTCTCTCTAAAGACAAATCAAAGGACACAATGGTGCTTGAAATTGAAAATATATTGCCTTTAAATAATCTAGCATAAACAATTTTTTACATAAAGGAGGCTTTAAACCATGACGCTCATTCGTAAGGCATCTTTTTGAGAGAAAAACTATCGCCTTAAGATTGGGGGGTTTGTCCATAAATTGGTAAGTAACGATAGGTATCCCTTCGGGAGGAGTCCGCTCTGGAACTTTGTAGTAAATATTAAGCGAACTTTACCGCTGCCTTTTCTACGCGGTTACCGTATGTTAGCCGGGTGAGCTGCATCCACGCTAATCGTGGTGACCTTATCTTCGCTTAATTGATAACACCAGACCAGTATTCAGCTTTGAAAACAGGTTTTCTACTAGAATTCCGGAAGGTATCCAGGGTCTATCGCCATTTTTACTGACGGCTCAAAGCCTCAGTCTACGGCTTTCGGTATACTATAGTTCTTTCAGGCTGAATTAGCTGCCCTGTAGCTCAGTCGCGCGCCAACCTCCTGACGGTTTACTACAGCGTCGGGTTTCCAATTTTCCAAATTTGACTAGTAATGGCTATCTCATCATCGAAATGGGCATTTTTATGAGTGCCTACTGACGCATTTTCTTTTTTTTTTTGTTTTTGCTTAACTAACGGCGTTCTCGGGTTTTCCTCAGTTAGAAGAGACGACATAAATATCGCATTATTTAGAAGAGTGGATAAGTACTAAGAGGTTTATTAATCTCCTCCGAGATAGTCAGAAGCAACTGACGGGATGGGACTGATTTAAATCTTTCTTTCATTATAAGGTGGGTTTGTTGACGGCTGGGATAATGCTCATCCCATTCAGCGGCGAGCGATAGCCAACTTCTTTGAACAAATAAAATACTGTATTTCAATAAATAGACGTTAAAAACACAAGGCTTTGTATGCAAATGTTGTTTTTGATTTCTCCAGCCATCCACAATTCCATGCCATGAGAATGAGAAAGGACCGGAGTTCTGCCTCTTTTCGATTGTTCTGCAAAAAAATGTTTAAGACAACAGCAGGCTGTCGAATATAGAGTAGGAGGACTCTTTTAAAGGATAATTTGTTTGTAATCAAGCTTCTTTGAAAGCTTACGAGTAAATGGTACTCGGAAGTATTGAAATCGAAAACTGTTCACTGATGTTACACGGGCTATTTTATTGCTGGGATGGCTCATATTAATAGTACTAAAGTAAGGGCTCGCGAACACAACGAACGTATAGCAGAGCTGTAAGTTGAGCTTTTTTATTCAGCAGGAAGAGCTGCTTTGAAAGTGAAGCAGATCAGCAAAGTAAAGAATATCAGAGAAATTTGCGCTTGTAGATAGAACTTAGAATGTGAAAAACGGTTAAAAATATAAAGACTTTATTTACGCCTTCTAAACAACGCCCAATCCAGGTAGTTGGAGTGCTTATTGTAGTGAAATCTTCGTCTGAAAAGATTGCTTCCACGAAAGCGACATTTGTCAGTTCTGCGAACTATACTGATAAAAAAAAAAATCTTACTGTATGATTGCATGCGACAAGCTCGTCCTAAACGCGTCACTGTACACTTCACTTCAATTCAAAGGAAGTCCTAATTACTTCGCCGATAGTGCTAAGATAAAAAGCACTACTGCCCAAGAATGATTAATGCCATCTACGCAACCTGTGCGCGTCAGCCGAAAAAAACTAGTAGATTACTGAGTACATAAATAGAATCACTTCAGCGCCGCTGTGAATCGCCACGCAACAGCCACCTTAAGATGGCTGGCTCTATCACAGAGTATCAGTGATTGCTTGCCAAATAGTCCATCCAAGCCACAGTCGACAGTCTAATGGCAGACAAAAAACGGCCGGTGCGCGTACCGAGCGAAAAAAAACGGCATTCAAGCCACAAGATGGAAACAGGTTCTGGGCGCGGGAAGCACATCCAACGAGTCGTAACCGAGCGCGCCCGCGTGCAAGCTGATTACGGGCCATGGTATGCGCGTAAGATAAATGCCTTTGCTGGCTGGTAATTTTTCAGTACTCTTTTTTTGTTTTTGTTTTTGTTGTTTTGCTGCACTGCACTGCATTGCCGCTTTGTTGTGTTGTGCGCAACGGTCGGCGGTTTTTTTTGCGGTTGCGTAGGGTTTTCGATGTGCCCTTGTCGTTAAGCTCGACCGCAGAGCGCTTAATGAGCTTTTATATATGTATTTTTTTTTATAATTTGTTTTCATGTCTCATTCTTTCTACGAAGGTAACTTGATTTCGTCGTTGGCAAGACAATCACGTACCGCGCGTGTATGATTTTTTTGTTTCAACTTTGTTTTTTTTTTGCGCGGTTGACAGTTTATGATGGATGCTCACCACAGCAACAACAAAAACAACAACATCAAAAAAATACAAAAGAACTTATGTTTAAAAAATAAATGACAGCGCAGAAAAAGTGTAGAGCCTCTGGGACCCTCAACTCACCTGTGATCGCGCAAATGATCCTGCCGGCGGAATGCCTTACCACAGATGTCGCACGAGTACGGCCGCTCATCGGTGTGCGTGCGCTCGTGTATGAGCAGATTGTAGGACTTGGTGAATTGACGATTGCAAAATTTGCAAATAAACTGTTTCTTTGGACGCGATGCACGTCCCGGTGCGCGCAGTAAACGACGATCCAGCCCGGCATGCATTGATGGTGGTAGCCCAGCAGGAAAGAGCGCCGCTGTTGCAGCCGCCGAGGGAAATGCAAAGGTGCCAGCGCCGGTTGGTGACGGTCCCGGACCGCCCAAATACGGCGGTGGCGGTGGTGGATACATTACAGCCGTCGGTACACCCGGTGGCGGTCCCTGCCCAGGCGGTCGTTGCATCAACATCGCAGCAGCAGCTGCCTCCCGCAAAGCCAACTCCTTGCGCTTATCCGCCATCATGGAAATGATCTCAAAATTGGAATTGCTGCCATGGCGCTTGCTCGCCTCCTTCGCCACCTCAGCGGCATCGAGCATGCCACCATAGATGGCGGCAGCGCCTTGTGCGCGCAAAGCATTTCGCGAGGGCAACACCGGTACGAAGGCAGAATGCGCAGTCTGCGCATTGGTGGCGCCACCAGTAGCGCTCATCAAACCCGCCGCTACCAAATGATGCTGGTAAGCGAGTTGTGTTTCGTACGCGGCCGCAGCTGCAGCGGCGGCTGCAGCGCCACTGGGTACACGACCGTTGGAAGCGCTGCGTTGTTCGGAGGCACCGCCTGCACCAGGCGCTTGCAAAAATTGTTCCAGGCGCGTAGGGCGTACCATGGAGATGGATCCGCCGCCAGCGCGCTCCTCCAGCAATGTGTTTTCGGTAGGCATTTCGGGGGGGGGGAGCAATTGACGATCTTGCGCGCGTGTATAGCTGTGGAGCTCACTGTCGCAACACTGACATGGCTAAGTTGTTACTGGAATGAGAATGAAGAAAAAATAAGGAAAATTAGTTGCGAAAATATATTTAAAAAAAATGTGCACGATTCAAACAACAGTAGGCGGTGAGGGCAGCTGATAAGCGGCGCATTGTTTTTGGCTGCTACTTTTTGGCTTTTTCGGTGAAGTTTTTCACTTATTGCTATAAACGTTCGCGGCGCGGCGCGTCGCGGTTGCGAAATTTGTGTGCCTCTAGTATTTATCTAAATGATGGCATAATAAAATGCTCATTGTTACCTTTCGCAGACATAAATATAAAAATTCTTTATTCTAGAACAATAATGATAAGCTGCAATTTATGGCTTTGATAAGCTTACTGTAAACACAAACACTGCGCGCAGTAGTTGAACTAAAATTGTGAAGCGAAGGCAAGTAGAGCGCGCGCGCGCGCGGTGCTAACGAAAGTCAAATACTAAATTTTAGTTCGACTGATTTCGCGTACGCGCTATGAGCTTATGAGCGACATGGAAACAGCGCGAACGCCAGAATTAAGCAGACAGCGAACGCTTTTTCTGTTGCTGCCTTTGAGAAACGCTTGTTTACTTATGATTTTTCGCTTTTCTACTTAATTGCGAAATCTTAAAATTTCTTTCACTAATTTCGCTGAGTTTGCAGTTTTTTCGCACTGCAATCAAAACGAAGTTATAAACAAAAACTGCATGAAGCAAATCGTAAAGCAAGTGCCGTTGTAGAGCAGACCCATACATCCATCTCCTCCCCCGCCCTGCGTAATCTCCAACAACTTACGAGTAAAACAAAAGCCAATCAAGCACATATTGTGATTGTTGCCGCACAGCAGCCAACTGTGGCAGCTGCAGCGCCAGCTATAATCATCTACATTGTAGTGCGAGCGCAGCAGCCGCCACCGCTTGAAATTGCTGGCGCAGTCGTAGACGTGACTTTATCGGCCGTTAAAACTACTTATAGCCACTGTTTCTTTCCATGTCCATCCATTCTTACTCTTAGTATTGCTGTCATATTATTACCACAAGCAGCGTTGCACACACAAATTTACAACACAGTCACACACTTTCGAACATTCTAAGCCACACAACTGGCAGTAATCTTCTTCAGCAGTGCGCAATAAAACTGAATTATCTTGTAATTGTCTACATACAGACTCGAAAATGTATTCGTGCCAAAGCTTAGCGCGCAATAAAGGCACGGTCTTAGTAGATAGTAAAGTCTAGCTTACGTCTATGGAGATTCACTCACTTCTGGAAAGTTATTTTGGTCCGGAGACTCATTCCTGAATACTGAGAAAGAACTTGGCCTGCAGACGGCTGACACTAACTTCCAGCGCATTGCACTGATTCCAGTTCATTGCCCCATATAGCTATCAAAAAAAAAAGCTTCACATAGTCTACTAACCGCGTTGACGATCAGAGCGAGCATTTACTCGTTGCTTGACCTTGCAAATATATAGAAAGCTCTACAAAGCTTATTCTACCGTCACGACAAAAACATATCCCACGTGAGCAGCTTTTTAACGCTTTATATCAGCGATGGGCAGAGAGAGCTTTTACTCTGCACGCGCCTATGCAAATTGTATGGAAAGCGTAAAAGAGCTTTGCGCGCAGGCAAGGCAGTGTCCATCACACAAACTTACTCCGAAAAGTGGCATAAAAGCTTAAACAGACGGCAGCGTTGATCCGGATTAACTCGGACTTAACCCGGATCAACTGCAATTGATTTCCGAGTTTATCCGGATCAACGCTGCCGTCTGTTTTAAGACTTTCTTTTAGTATATATAAAAGTTCGTCCTGATTGCACTGATAACCGATTTACAGTGCAATTCAGACTAAGGTAGTTGGAATTTTTTTAAATTTTTAAAAAGTTGTATCCATTTTTTTTTATTTTTAATTTAATTTATTTTTTTTTTTTCTAAGAAAAAACATGTGTAAATTGCATGTATATTTTAGAAACTTTACTTTTTCAATTAAATTCGTTCCTGTTTTTAAATAATTTTCTTTTAATTTTTCGATTTAATTTTTTTAAGAAAAATGTTTTTTTATTGAATTGATTTCGTTTTTTATTTTTGCTTTCTTTTAGTTTTTGGTTTTTACAGAATAACGCTAAGGCCTCTTCGTTCGCAGATTTTTCAATTAGTATTTCGAAAGATACTAGAAAAGAGCTTTCAAGATAGTTGCCAGAACTGACAATTGTCTTACGAAAGACTTTTGCCACAATTTCCCCGTTAGAGCAGTGGCGATTAAAGAGAACTTTTATTCTGTCAACTTAGACAAAGAAGAGCTTTTAACTTAAACGGGACTCGTTTGGGAAGTGAGTGTTTTATATGGAAGCACACAGCTATGCTTGCTGCTTCCCTGAATAGAAGCAGTGCGCGTCTATGCCAAATGTACAGAAAGCTTAAAAGAAAACGGGCAAGGATTTCTTAGTCCAATTGTAACCCCACTTTCCAAGAGTTAATCCGAAGGTAGTCAAAGGAAGCTTCAAAAGCTTTGTAGGTGGCTTCAAAATTGGATATGAAAACATGCGTTCAATCCCCTATACATGGATCTTTAAACGAAAACGTGAATATATTCCATGCCTGATTTATCAGACCTAAAGTAGGATAAGTTAGTTTATTTCAGACTTTCACACAACGCTCTCGATCGGATATGCAAACAGTCTTCGTGGCTCATTTTGAAACAAAAACGGGCATGTTTCGGGCTTCGGTGAAGTCAGTTAGTCTCAACTCATCAGCGAAGATTCGGCGGTCTTTATTCTCTTCCGACAATGTAAAAATGGAGATGTTACAAAACCTGGTCCAAATACGTATGTATGACTGTGCCTCATCAAGCGCTTAGTGTGAAATTATTCTTTTCGAAAGTACTTATAACACGCAATGCATTTGAGTTACAATGCAAAACATACGGTATGTATGTTTGTAAATAAATATTTGTCTTGCCATGGATATCTATTTGATGGTATTGTCTGTCTGTCTTACCAAGCGCTCACTGGACTGTTTATTTTTGCAGTACATATATTTCTGTATACTACATTAGGGTGTATCACCAAAAAATATTGAGGTTTTTATTATACTGTTTCGGAAAAAAATTAAAACTTACCGATTTGAAAATAACTCCAAAAGTATTTTTATTCCGTTGATAAAATTTTTAAACATTTTTATGCAGAACGTTTGCTTAAACTTTAAAGCTTAAATTCTTCTATCATCTGGGGCGATTTTTTAGAATTTTTTTTCAAACTATTTTTGGCGGTATTTTCAAATGGGTTCAGCTCACGTGAATCCTAATCCTTTCAGTACAAGCGCCCAATATATAGTACAAACTTTTTTTGAGCTTAAAAAAGGGGTTGTTTTGAGAAAATTGTGTGATTCTCCCTTTCCGCGTTTCTTTAATTGCATTTTCTTGATACAGTTGACTGTGTTTTTTTCACAAAAGTGAAAAGTGTCCGAAAAGTCGATAGTGAACAGTGTTATATATACATATATTCGAAAACACTGACTATTTTTCGGTGGAATTGAAATTTGAAAAAAAATTAAGTATTATTCACGGTCCAAAATAATTGACGCTTATTAGCGGTAAACTATCAGTTTTATAAATTTTTTTTGATTGTTTTTTTTTTTGAAATGGATGACCTAAAATTAGCCGGTATACCAATTTTCAGATTTTTAGCTCCAACGGTTGATTTTTTGTACTGAAAAGGTTAATATTTTTTCAAAATATTTTAGCGGGCGTCTTAAAATAAAATAGATTTTATATTTCCGATGGGAAAAACAGTACTGATTTTTTTTTTTTATAGAGAGTGATGCGTATGCACGGTAAGGTGGTTCAAAAATGCATGTCAAAAAGTAAAGTCGAATATTTATGCTCTCACGCCCTAGGATTGTTCTATACCGAAAGAAATAAACCCCTCCTTTTTTATTTTGAAACCGAAAAATTATTTAGAGGTCGCTCAAAGCGCTCAAAGTTTTTCATGTACTATATTTTATATGGAAAAAAAAATTTTCGTTGAAACGGTATGGAATTCTTGAAAATCAATATTTTTCGATCGGATTTATTATTTATTTAACCACTTCTTCATATTAACTATATTTTATAGGTCCGCCAAAGCCCCCAGAAAATGCAATAGGGGGAATAAATAAAAAATCTTGGTAAAACAATTGGGTATTGTTATTGGAAGTCGCCTGAAGAGAACCAGAGTTTTCCGATCAAAAAATATAGATTTTCAAAAATAATATGTAGCATTTGTACGAGTTGTTTTTTCCTTATATAAAATATAGTATTTAGGTACATGGAAAATTTTGGGCGCTTTGAGCGATTTCTAAATATTTTTTGATTTCAAAATATAAAAAATAGAGGTTTATATTTTTTTGGTATTGAACAATGCCAGATGGTGAGAACATTTAAATTGCGACTCTAATTATTTTGGACCGCCCTAATGTACAGTCATATGTATGTATTTTCATTGCCGCCGCAGTGACCCATATGAGTGGATACGCAATCTGGTAGAAATATTTGCCATATTAACTAGATCGGCAGTGACGGCTATGTAAACATGTCGCCAATTTTTGGCTTTCCAACAATGATTGTCTGAAACAAAATTGAACAAAATGCGGTTTGATAGCAATCACCCAAGGGTGTGACTCCTCTCATTGTCAGACGGAAACGAGCTCTTCGTGCCTATGTTAAGCACTTAATAAGCAACTTGGAACAGAATTATGGAACACAGGTCGTTATTACCGCTGAAACTTACTCGAAGTAGGTATTCCATAAAAATTCCTAATAATATATTTTGGCATTAACCGCTTCCGTATGGAGCATTTATTTGGACTAGAAATTTTCTTAGGCGACGTGGTAAATATGTGATTTCCAAAAGAATCGACTATGTGGTATAAAAAAAAATTGTAAGCCCAAAAAAGAGGCATTGTGTGACATTAGTAACCTCCTTTGCCCTTAAGAGCAGCCAAGAAGTGAGCTCATCTTGGACACTGATGCCAGCGGTTGGTTGCTGGTTGCCGGCTTATGGACACCGCCGACACATTTCGCAGCTATTACACACATACACACATATGTTTACGTTTATTGGATATTTTTTTTCTTTTTTTTTGCTTTTTTTCCTGTTTTTAGTTTTCAAAACCCAAATGCCAGCGGCTAGTGGACATTGGAATTTTTTTGTTTGTGTGTATGTGTGAGTCTACATATAACTTCAATTTTGTTTTTCCATTTTGGTGGATAAGTGCCGTGAGTGCCGCCGCAACTGAAGGTTGCAACAAAGCGGCTAAGACAAANCGTAAAAAAAAGGTATGCGTGCAACAGAAAGAAAAAATTGCTTCAGGCAAAAAAAAAAAAAACGAAAAACCTAAGAATTAATGAACCCCTTGGAGGCAGCAAATACCATTGATGACGATGTGGTTTTAGTGGCTTAAGTAAACAGCTATGCAGACTCACATTGATATAGTTGGTATGTTTGTACACAAATGTGCCTTCAAGCATGCAGCGAAAATGCTTTCTTAAATGGCTAAGAAAATAAGCGATTTTCGAACACTGTTCGATAGTGGATAATTTTTTTGTTTTTTTTTTTGTTTTATTTTTCGAAACAAGCAATGAAAACAAAAACAAATGGTTGCGTGAAAAAATTTGTTGAAGA